CTCAAAAGAATGGATACTTGAGTCAAATGTTTGATTGTGAAATTTATTTCAGAGAGTCTTTTGACCCTAAATCCCTAGCATGATTTACTAGGAACCATACCCATCCTGGCAAATTCCAACACCATATGGGAAACTGCACACACACATATTTCTGACTTTGATTCTGGAGGTGTGCCAACCCAATGTAAAAGACTGTCAGTTTAGCGGTACTGTACCCATCCTGACAGATTCCAACAAAACATGTCGTTGGGGTTTGATGGGTTGAGTTCTGTTATGGTTAAAGCTATAAATAAGTCCAATGAGTTTAGGAATTCAAGCATCAGGAATTTACAACATTTTCTGAGTGAACCATGGTAGTTTAACCACATGTGCAAACATTGATCAGCTTATTACTGTTTAAAAGGAACAAATGTGTGCTTGGTCGGTTTTAATCCGAGCCGAAAGTGCGATAATTATCAGCACCCAGACTCCAACCAGTTTTAAACAGAGTGATTAATACCGACCAAGCACATATTTATTCCCATTCATAAATACTTTTTGGTCAAAAAACCCTGCTTTTGTTCACAAAAATTCACTTCATGTTTTTTAAACACCCCTTTTTCATCTATAGCTAAATAATGGAGTGTCCAGCCTGCAAGTAAGATGTACACAACTCCTTTTATGGAGATTGGCGCGCGCATTCGTGGTACTGCGTGATGTCGCGCAGAACACACCTGAAGATTGCGTTGTTAATTTAGGACTTCTTCTTCTGTCGTACATGTATGTCCTTAGACTTGCAGCTCTGTCAGGGTGAGCCAGGCCAGTGTGTCATCCTCCAGGTTGATCAGGCGGCCGGTGTTTTGGGCAGGCGGTGATGATGTGGTCTACTGTCTGGATTGGTTCTCTGCAGTCGCAGGAAGTGCTGTCTGCCAGTCCCCAGCTTTTCATGGATGCACCATAACGTCCGACTCCAGCCCTCGGACGGTTGAGGGTCGTCCACTGCTTTCGTGGGAGGTCTTGACCAGACATAGGGTCGTTTATGAAGTGGTGTAGCCTAGGTAGTTCTGCTGAGGTCTACCGGACTCTCCAGCTGGTTTTTACCCAGGCGGCCTTAGAGACGTCTGCCGATGTCGTGAGCAGCTTGTGGGCATGCGTGGCAAACAGCCTGGAGCCTTGCCGGTCTTTAGCCGTTGGATGGCCAACTGGAGTTTGTGTGCCGTGAAGTCGCCTGAAAGGTTTTGATCACACCCCTGCGCATGGTGTAGCTCCTTGACTCTCGCCGACGTGGCTCTAGTAAAGTTCTTGTCCACGTAGGGGAAGTGACCCTTGCTCAACAACTGAGATGCGATGGAATTTGCAGTAATTGGACATTGTGTTGGGGTTGTGGACCTACCCGTGAGTTGTTGATGGTTTGCCATGCCCGACAGCTGGAATGGGTGAAATTGATCGATTCCACAGTCTCTGTCCATCTCTGCCTACGTTTCTCGTTTAGCCTACCGAAAAGATCAGTGGCTGCTTCATCCCTGTCTTCGTTGGTCGTTGCTTCTTTATGGGTGCAAAGTAGATCTTCACACTCGCCATCCCAGCAGGGGACGTAGGCCGTGAATGATGCCGTGGACGATGCAGGATCTTCAACACCGCAACATTTTAAGATCTGGGGAGGAATACAGTAGAGGATTGGTTTGGCAATTTTGACAAAAGCTGACAGCCATATGCACTTTGAAAAAAAAAGAACTATGGATCTTTTTATATGGTTCTCTTGCTGTAAGAGGCACAAGTAAGCTATTGACCTGAGTTAGGACTCTTGTTCAGGCAGGCCGGATGCAAAGTTTTTCCTGAGACACAGCCGGCGCTTGGGCATGGCCTGTGACAATTGAGTCTATCAAACACTGGTATCTGCTAAGAATAACCAGCCCAGGTATCTGTCAATTTCATAAAACTTCCACAAATGCCACTATCTTGTCCTGCTGTCCACTACCTTCAACTTATCTTAATTCAACTCACAAACATTTTCACAAACATGGACCACAAGTCATCTTGTAGCATGACTTGTGAAGAGAAAGTGAAAACATTTTCCTTTCAAAACCTAAGACTTATTTCTGGGGATCCAGTCACAAGTATGCGAGCGCTTGGTCTTGTTCCCAAATGCAAACTCACCCCCAAAGTTGATGCCTTTATCCACGTGCTTAACCCTGTAGTGCGCCTTGAGGAGAATCTCATCAGTGAAGAGACTGTCCTGGGAGCAGAATGGACAGTGCAGATGCGGAGCCTTCATCAAGGAGTGGCTACACTCCCTGTCTGTGCATTGTATGGGCGTCCAGTCTGCCTCAGCGCCTTTCATCCGCACTGATGGATGCGCCCACAGTTGCAAAAAAAAAAACAATTGAGAAAAAATGTCAACAATCAAATTTATATGTATGATGTACAAAATGTAAAAAAAATATGTAAATGTATAAAACAGCAATGCCGATAAAATCAGTAAAAAAAACCTCATTTTCTACTCAATCAAAACCTTCACAGAAATTTTCAAAGTGGAGGGGGGGAACAAATTAGGCCAAATAAAAAAATTAAAAACAAAAACATATTAAGCGTCCTTTAGCTCCTTTTATTTTTTTTCTCTCTTTTTTTAACCATTTTTTTTTTAAATTTTGGCCTCTTGCATTGTATCTGTTGCATCATGGAGCTATAAACACATTTCGATATAAAGCTGGTATGTAATTTTCTGAATTTAATGGCAGCCATTTAAAAAAAAACCCAAATGGCAGCCATCTTGAAAAATAGCCCTGTCGGGCGACCATTTTGGAGGACAGAGAAACAAGGGCCTCCCGCTTCCTTTTTTTTCTTCAAAAAGCAGGACCCTAACTCCCCCTAAGCATGTTCTTTTTGGAATGGAAAGATTCCCGTATCCGGCCACTTGTCAATGTCATCCTGTGCAGAATGAGACTGGTCTGAAAATGTGTGTTTTCTCAGTAAATACCCCAATAAATTCCCTGCTAAATTTGACTTTTAAGGTTGATCGTGAAGTGAAGGGCCCCTGTTTTATTTTGATTGAATTAGAGTCAAAAATATGTTTTTTTTGCTCAAAAATCACATTTACAATCAAAACAGACTTTTCTCAATTCATTCTAGTGAGACCCATTTTGCAATTCTGAACAGATTCTAGGGGTAGAAAACATGATTTTCCTGCGCGGTTTGTGCCTTGCGATTCAGCACACTGTGCGTGCTCACGGTACATCGCATGATGATCGCCATCTTGATTTTCTGGTCGCATGTTTTTCCCTAAAAAAAAAACCCTGCCCTCTATCTATGACATACCTGTTGATTGAGAATGTCGCCAACTAGTTTGGTAGGTCTAATAATTTTTAAAGGGGAGTGTTCCCTTATAGGAACCGGACCCTTCAATTCACGATCGCCCTTTTTAGGACATATTATTATTATCACTTTCTGATGGCTGATAAGTCGTTGAAGGAAAACATTAGTGATGGCCAGATATGGGAATCTTTCCGAAAAAGCCTCCTAGCACTAGCCATAGCGAGCAGCAGCCATTCAGTATTGTGAAGTGTCCGGAAACTGGGCGATTTAATTTTTTTATTTTTTTTTATATTTATTTTTACGACGAGGTGTCCTACTAAAAAATATAAATAATTTTTCAGAATCTCTTGGGTACCTACCATATGAATAGCCATGTTCAATAACTCCTTTGCCTTGAATAATCACATAAATACATTCTGGGGGAAAATATTAAAGGAATGTACAACATTTGCTTTTGCTGCAATTTTCAGAAATAAATGGATTTGGAGGCTTAGTATGGTATAGCAAATATTGTTAAACTGACTTGTTTCACGTTTTGGGGTTGTAGATGCTGGAAAAACCAAGAAACCCAATCATGTTCTTGTAGTCTGATTCCCTGACTCCACTTAAGATGAAACGGAGCAATTTATAGACTGGGGGGAATTGTAAGTTCAGAGAATCGGTGTAGCTGGCTTGTACCCCTTTACAGGTGTGTAATCAACTGCAAAGAAAATGCGGAATAACTAAATATAAAAAATTAGGAGCAGTTTTTGAAAAAATCCAGTTTTCTCCAACGCTGGTCGGCTGACCAGTGTTGGAAAAATACAGTGTTTCTTGAAAATGTCAGCACACCAGGAGCCACGATTTTACAGGATGCTTCAGACTGTCATTCCTTAACAATCCAGTAAGGTATTTCGTGATAATTTTATCATTTCATTTTTTGATGTTTGCAAATGTTGTATCTTCCCCTTAAGTAAGAGGAAAAACTAGTTTTCAGCGTAAACAGCGCCCTCCAGGAAAAAAAGTGGTTTAAAGGGTTTTTCCAAAATTCGAAGCCAGCTACGGCTTCGTCTGTTATAATAATTTGAAGATTATGAAATTTCCACACAGCTACTCAGAAAGCGTGAGCTGTCTAATAAGAAGAGACAATAGGTGTTATTAGGCTTCCGTTACGGGAGACGTATGCGTCTCGTAAAAAAAAAAAGACGGATGCCAGATCAATGATGAATCTGCGAGTCTGCGATGAAGGGTGCATACCGGTAAATCGATCCGCCAAGCTCATGAATAAAAGTTATACCCTCAAAATATTCTATATTAGAGAGTTATTCTATATTAGAGAGTTCTGAGCGCCGTAAAATTGGGGAATTGAAGAGATATGGTAGTGAACCTCTGGCCCGGACTTGGGGCTTTCAATTCTGAGCATTTTGGATGCTATTGGGCTCGAAAGTGGCGCTATTTTGCCATGTTGTGGAGGGATCGTTTTTCAAGATGGCTACTTTTCCGCTTTGGGGAAAATGGGGGTCGTCTTCTTTGCGTGAAAATATCTCGAAAAGTCAATAGTCAACCCACCATAAATTGAAAAGAAAATGAAAGGTGACACATTGATCATCATTTTTCTGTGCAGCTTGAATACCTGTGAGAGTTTTGAGTATTTTTAAAAGAATTTTGAAGTATGGGCATTTAGCACTAGTGTCTAAGGGAGTTTATTTGCAGGTATGCACCCTATAGACCGAGGTTTCGAAACAGCTTGCATGCTGCCAATCGAGCGACACATGAGGGCAGCATTCAACAACAACATAAACACGCGACTCGTGTAAATCTGCCGCTACCCGTATTCTTCTGACTCTGGTCTGAGTGGCTGAAAACTTTCTTATTTATTAGTATTACGTCAGTATCAGTACTACAAGTTTGTTTTCATTAAAGGTAACATTAATTTGGTTGTTTTTAATAGCTATTGGTGAAATCTGCATTATTTTATTTAGTGAAATGTACTGCAGAAGTAGCCGTAGACGCACTGCGTTTATAGCGTAACTTGTTATGATGTTTCGTCGTGTGTGTTCGTGAAAAGTTTGAGATGCTTAGTTAAAAAAGGAAAAATGTCCATACTGGGCCACTAATATGACCTGAAAAGAACCAAAAGTTGTAAATCTGATGGAAAACACTATTAAGGAGTGCAAAAATTCTGGATTTTTCCTACAGTAGTTCCAGATAGCTTCAAATAAAAACATAGTGCCTACCTTTTTTTGGATTAGTCTCCAAATTGGAGTCCAATATTTTTTTCTGACGAAGTGCATTTTAATAAGGAAAATGTAAGCTTCTTGATACACGAAGATCTTTTTGATAAAATCTTAGAAAAGGAATTTCTGCCAAATTTTTCGACTCGCACTTTGACTTGTTTGGATGGTTTGTAGAAACTCGTGGGAGCTGCTGCAGCGAACCGACGAAAAATTTTCTCCTCGGTACATCACTCGAACCGTGTGATTTTGAATATTTTTTTATACACTAAAGTCGTATCAACTCTTCCATCGAATGTTTACGTGTGTACCTGTTCGTCCCTTATGACCCAACTACACGCGCATTAATGGATTTTGTGTGACGTATTCTGTGTGCTGTGTCAAAATATATTTGGTCTGTGCGTGAGTTCGTGCCGTTGCGCTGCAGACAAACGTTTCAAAATCATTCACGTTTTTCTCTTTGTTAAATTTGGTGGAATTCTCTTGAATGAACTATTTTGGGAAAATGAAATAATACTTTATCAGAAAATATGCTTAATTTGGTAAGTTCTGGCTGAAAAAAAATTGATTCGCTCGTGTGATTCTTAAGTAAAATTTGAGGTGGAGATACTAAGTAATGAAAGGTTTGTGAAAACACCATGTGCGAATAATTTCTCAACTAAGAGAATGGTTCTGAAAAGAACCAGAGGTATAAACTCGACGTTCCGACTTAGACTGATGGGTCTCCTATACCCTAGGTCCTCAGCTACCACCTAAGACTGAAAGGTCTCCTATACCCTAGGTCCTCCCTCTACTGACGCTGCAACCCTACTGTTCCACTTCAGTGGGCACCAAGCTTGCTCTAGGATCCTGTCTACTTGGCATCCTCACAGGATGCAACTTCACACTTCATTGATTTCGTCTTTTGCTACTTAAGTATTCACTTTCTTAGAGTTTAGGCACTCTCCTGAAGACGGTCGGAGCATACTGACCGGAATGTCGAGTGATACCTCTGGTTCTTTTTAGAACCATTCTCTTAGTTGAGAAATTATTCGCACATGGTGTTTCCGCAAACCTTTCATTATTCGTGTGATTCTTTTTTTAGCGTAAAGGATTTTCGGATCCATTCGGAACAGATTGAACCGATCCGGAACTAGGAAAAGTGACATTAGTACTTTTGACGTCGTAAAGCCAAAATAAAAACAGCCTAAATTCGGAAAATTATTATGTCATATCTCCATCACTCAAGGTAAACTATTGAACCAATGTCACTTGAATTTGTGGAGTAATTGAGCTGAAAGCAGCCTAAATGATGTTTGCTATCCGAAACTAGGAAAACGACTGTAATATGTGTTCTGTCATGGCCCATAGACTTTGTGCAGGAGCTCTGAGTGGTGGCCCAGTATGGATTTTTTTCCGACCGCCCCAACTAGTTGGTGACATTGAGAACATATGTAGGGGTAATCCTTATCTGTAGGACACCTCTATTTTTACGAGTTCTCTTTAAAACTGACTTTTATACTCCTAGAACTATGATGCTCCACGTGAGCTGAGCCTCATAGATACAGAACCCCGCAAAATTGTTTGCAGCACAAAAGACTAATTAAGTTCAAAAATGTCCATCAAAACACAACATTGGCTGATTGTTTTATGTTCAAATGTGGAAAACTGTTGTATTGCTAGAAAAAAAGCAATTCAGAAATGAGTATACAGTGTTTATACTTCGGCAAAGGGCAAAGCCTAATAGTGATTTACATCACCCCAACACAAAATTCCATCTGATGAAATAGTAGATCGTGGATCGCAGGAGGTCGTGGGTTCAAGTCCAAACCCGAGTGATTTTTTCTAACTTTCACTTGGGAGGTAACACACTGAGTATACAGTGTTTATACGTTAGTGAAGGGCAAAACCAAATACTAATTTAGAAAAGAAATTTCATTTTTGGGATGAAACTCGAAAATAGAACGGGAAATGCAACTTTAAATCCCCTCCCCCCAACACAAACATTCCATCTTACAAATATTCATCTTCTTTCCTGTTACATTCAGTGCTTGCGATGGATTAACTGATGGAAATCCAATTGTTTGTTTCATCCCTCAGCTGCTAAGAAGATAAGGAGGAGGCATTGAAAGTACTCAACGGACACAAATGGAAAGGACAGGTGCTCAAAGCCAAGGTATTCAATTGTGGCTTTATTATTGACACGAATTTCTGTTGGCACTTGTCACTGGATTTAAATGAATAAGAACTGCCTCAGCATTGGCTATTATATAACAACCAAGTAAATCCTTGTCATTTGATTGGAGGATTGTAGGTCACGCGGCATTCATTAATCAAACCATTGCATTTTTGGTTCCATTCACTGTGCATTTTCGTCCCATCCCTTTTGATCTATTGCAGCCGCCCGCATGCTAAGTTTCTGTTGGCACTTGTGATTCAATTTAAATGATTGAGAACTGCCTCCGCATTGGCTACCAGTGCAAGGGGTCTAGTGGCTGCTATTGCTGTGGTTACAGGTTCATATTCCCGCAATGACTCTTTTCCGTAGCTCGCCATGTCAGTTGAGGACCCGGACACTAAGAGCCTCGCTCGGAAGAGAAGCCAAGAGGAATCTGATGGAAACACCCAAGAAGCTAAGAGGAGGAAGGAGGAGGACAGCTGACCAGTAGAAGAGAGGTGAAGACATTGAGATAGAATGCAGGGTTGGGCTGGATTCGAACCACCAACATAGAAATGTACTGCAGTTCAAAACTCAGATATTGTGGATACAATTGGTGCCATTTGTTTGGATTAAGTATTTTGTATTGACCTCAAATTTACCCAAACCAGCATCCTGAAATTGTGTCTGCCATATCTCAAAAAGGCTAATAGCAGTTGAACCATTTACTATTACTCAAACTTGGTTAAGACTCTGAAATACTGAGCGCAATTTGTTCATCCTTTTCCAATCTGCAGGTTAAACAACACAGTGACTCCAGTATGGAACCAGCTGTATGAGGACCAGCTATCCACCAAACAGACCAACACCAGGGAGTGTCTTGTCTTGATGCATGGCCAGTGTATGGAAGGACGGCAACCGGCATGTCGGGTGTGTTCAGGGTCTGTGACTGGTTCCTATTTGGTAAGAAGTTTTGATGTTTTGGTCTGTTCCCATTGTCTTTTAGCATTGGATCGTTTATGTAGGGGAGTTGTCAGTGTTAATGTCTAGTTCTGCCCTTCACCAATGTAAATTTGAAAGCACTGTATAGGTCTACTAAGTGTTTTCTGGAGATAACTAGCAAAAAAAATCCCCAGCTTTCGTGGGTGGGATTTGCACATGTTTTTACCACTTGATAACCAAGCATATCAAAGTTTGTTGGATAAATATCCCTGACATTGAAGATGATGTGTAAATCCTTTGGATTTGATGATTTCTGTCATTGGTGGGATGTGAACCCCAAGCCCCTGCTTATAGAAACTCAGATTGGGACCAACTGTCCCTGGACCTACTGGCAAACTGGGTCTCATGGCATAAACACCAGGGGGTGGGGGGTTCATCCCCACCCCTCCCATATTTTGGCCAGGGTGGTGGGGGATGGGCAATGGCATCATCATGTGTTAAGGAAAAATGCTGCTTGTTGAATCCTGTCAACATGACTTTACAAACAAAAATTGAGAGAAGCAAAGAGTAACCTTAGGCACTCTTAAAAGTAAGTCAAATTTGAAATCGAAGTATTTCCTCTCTTGTTTTTTTTTTTTTGAGCTGAAATCTCTCAGGGATTGATAGCTGGCCTCTTCCCACCTTGTGTGAATATTTGACTTAATTTCGTGAAGTTGGATTTTCACGCCAAAAATGAGTATTTTTGATGACCGCGGATATGGAAAACTTTTCAAGATTTGGGCTATTTCGGCCGAAAACTGAAATGTTTATTTTCTTCCTGGATCCTGACTTTGGTGAGCCGAAATCTCTCAGGGATTCATATCAGTCCCCTCCCACCTTGTGTGAACATTTGACTTAGTTTCGTGATGTTGGATTTTCATGCCAAAAATAAGTTTTTTGATAACCGCGGATATGGAAAACTTTTCAAGATTTGGGCTATTTGGGCCAAAAACTGAAATGTTTATTTTCTTCCTGGATCCTGATTTTGGTGAGCCGAAATCTCTCAGGGATTCATATATGTCCTCTTCCCACCTTGTGTGAACATTTGACTTAATTTTGTGATGTTGGATTATAAGGCCAAAAATGAGTATTTTTGATGACCGCGGATATGGAAAGCTTTTCAATTTTTGGGCTATTTCGGCCTAAAACTGAATTGTTTTTTTTTCTTCCTGGATCCTGACTTTGGTGAGCTGAAATCTCTCAAAGATTCATATCTGTCCTCTTCCCACCTTGTGTGAACATTTGACTTAATTTCATGATGTTGGATTTTCATGCCAAAAATGAGTATTTTTGATGACCGCGGATATGGAAAACTTTCAATTTTTGGGCTATTTCAGCCTAAAACTGAAATGTTTATTTTCTCCCTGGATCCTGACTTTGGTGAGCTGAAATCTCTCAGGGATTCATATCTGGCCTCTTCCCACCTTGTGTGTGAACATTTGACTTAATTTTGTGATGATAGATTTTCATGCCAAATATGAGTTTTTTTTGATGACCGCGGATATGGAAAACTTTTCAAGTTTTGGTTTATTACGGCCTATAACTGAAATGTTTATTTTCTTCCTGGATCCTGACTGTGGTGAGCTAAAAATCTCTCAGGGATTCATATCTGTCCTTTTCCCACCTTGTGTGAACATTTCACCTAATTTCGTGATGTTGGATTTTCTGGCCAAAAATGAGTATTTTTGATGACCGCGGATATGGAAAACTTTTCAATTTTTGGGCTATTTCGGCCGAAAACCGAAATGTTTATTTTCTCCCAGGATCCTGACTTTGGTGAGCAAAAATCTCTCAGGGATTCATATCTGTCCTCTTCCCACCTTGTGTAAACATTTGACTTAATTTCGTGATGTTGGAATTTCCTGCCAAAAATGAGTATTTTTGATGACTGCGGATATGAAAAACTTTTCAAGATTTTGGCTATTTCGGCCGAAAACTGAATTGTTTAATTTTTTCCTGGATCCTGACTTTGGTGAGCTGAAATCTCTCAGGGATTCATATTTGGCTTCTTCCCACCTTGTGCGAACATTTGACCTAATTTCGTGATGTTGGATTTTCAGGCCAAAAATGAGTATTTTTGATGACCGCGGATATGGAAAACTTTTCAAGATTTGGGCTGTTTCGCCCGAAAACTGAAATGATTTTTTTCCCCCTGCATCCTGACTTAGGTGAGCTGAAATATCTCAGGGATTCATATCTGGCCTCTTCCTACCTTGTGTGAACTTTTGACTTTATTTGCTGATGTTGGATTTTCATGCCAAAAGTGAGTATTTTGATGACCGCGGATATGGAAAACTTTTCAAGATTTGGGCTTTTTCGGCCGAAAACTGAATTGTTTATTTTCTTCCTGGATTCTGACTTTGGTGAGCTGAAATCTCTCATGGATTCATATATGTCCTCTTCCCACCTTGTGTGAACATTTGACTTAATTTCGTGATGTTGGATTTTCATGCCAAAAATGAGTATTTTTGATGACCGCGGATATGGAAAACTTTCAATTTTGGATTATTTCGGCCTAAAACTGAAATGTTTATTTTCTTCCTGGATCCTGACTTTGGTGAGCTGAAATCTTTCAGGGATTCATATATGTCCTCTTCCCACCTTGTGTGAACATTTGACCTAATTTCGTGATGTTGGATTTTCAGGCCAAAAATGAGTATTTCTGATGACCGCTGATATGGAAAACTTTTCAAGATTTGGGGTATTTCGGCCAAAAATTTCAATGTTTATTTTCTTCCTGGATCCTGACTTTGGTGAGCTGAAATCTCTCAGGGATTCATATATGTCCTCTTCCCACCTTGTGTGAACATTTGACCCAATTTCGTGATGTTGGAATTTCAGGCCAAAAATGAGTATTTTTGATGACCGCGGATATCGATAACATTTCAAGATTTGGGCTATTTCGGCCCAAAACTGAAATGTTTATATTTTCTTTCTGGATCCTGACTTTCGTGAGCTGAAATCTCTCAGGGATTCATATCAGTCCTCTTCCTACCTTGTGTGTTAAGGGCCTGTCACATTATATGCGATCTCATAGGAGACCTTATGGCGACCAAAAGTATTTCATAAATTTAACAATCGCAGCGAGTACGCAAGAAAATGACAACTTTCTGTATCAAAGAAGCTCAAGCTACGCTCATACTGTGCTCTCCCCACGCTTATGATGCACTCAACTCGCTCTCTATGAGCCCCTGTCAAGTTCAATTACTCGATCTAGTCGCTGCCGCTGCGCTGTCACTGCGCCCACTCTACGCTCTGCTCGCTGTTGATACGGCCTAGTAGCTCACGTCGCGCTCTCTATTCGTCCAAAATACACTCATGTGACGTCACTTGCGCTGTATAAATACCACGACAAAACGGTCAATACACAGTCCAGTTTAAAAATTATTCTACAAGTTCATCGCAGTCGAGTTACTTTCTCATGGAGACTACATCGACTGTCTTGTGCCTAGGCTGCCTCAATGCCCCTTCAATGTCGCACGATTCACGCTCTCACAGCACCCGAGTTACGTCATTTGCGGCGCCCTGGCCAGAGCGCAGAGGTGTTGCGATTGTTTTGAGCATGTTCAAAGACCTTGGTGCTCATCAGAGACCATTAAGACCCACCGGCCCCCATCTGGCTACCTATGTAGTTGTCGCTGCGATCTTGTAGTTGTTTTTGCGCCCTAGCTAAGGAAGCAGTAAGAGCGCAGTGAGAATCTCTCAGCTGCTATGATCACTACAAAATAACTAGAAACAGCAACAAACATGTATTTGAATCCCAGGACATACTGTTATTTTGTTTTACCTTTTTGGATTTCCTCAAAAACAAAAACTGTGAACGAACTATTGACCGTTTTATCGTTTTACAGTTTTGTAAAAAGGTCAAACGGTATTAAGTCACACACAAAAAATAGAGCGTTGTTTTACAAAATCATGACAATGACAAAACGGTCAATAGTCTTGCCGACCATTTTTTTGATTTAGGTTCGGCAATTAAGCAATGCACCTAGGAATGTTAATGCATCCTTGGGATCGAGTCATTGCCTGGGCCCTCCTTACATTTTCGTTCTCAGGACAGAATTTGCGAATTAGCTATTGAAGAGCCGCGTCGACTTAAACTCCTATTTCCTTCAAAATATCTGCAACTTCGTCAAACGTCTTACCATCCTGTATCCATTGTGAAAAGTAATGCCCTCCCTTGCAGTTTTCCAGCGCCATTTTTTGCTTGCAACTCTTTAAGCCCCACCAACTGAATCGCATGAGAAGGGGGTCAGGGTCCGCGCCAGGAATCACACCACGCATTAATTATGCCGAGCCAACACTCGTGTAAAGCAGGGTCCCCCTCCACCCCCTTGCCCACCGCCACAAAATGCACCACGGACTGTTAACTATGACACTAAAATTTAAAAAACAGTGTGTATTCAATACTGACCATTTTCCTGTTTTTCTAAGTTATTTGTGTAAAACTGGAAAACAAAAATAATCGATCGTTATGCTATAATGAATTTTACTAAACTTATAAAACGGAGAAACCGTAAACTGTAAAACGACAAAACGGTCAATGGTTCGTTTACTGTTTTTGTTTTGGACGAAATCCAAAACCGTAAAACGAAATAACGGTATGTCCCGGGATTTATTTGACACTCTGGAATGCTTTGTACACTTTGGATGAACACAATACAAATATATATTGAGTCATAAGGAAGAGCAAGTCAGCCACAGCCAGATTGGATAAGTAGATGTTGATGATTGTACGCATGGACTTCACTCGAATGACTGTGAAGAGAAAGACCAAGTTTAAGAGGAGGCCGATTGGTGCAATGATTTCAGTACTTAACCATAGTATTTGTTAATTTCTTTTGTGAGTCTTGATGAAGTTCTCAAGGTGCTTTTAACTTCATCGTTCTCCATATCCAACATTTTATTCAGATGTAGCAAAGAGTGTTCTGTCCTATTTCAAGATCACTCCAGTTTTATACTAACAGCGAATATAAGACCTGGAGTAATGTGTAGTTGAAACAAAAAGCTTCTGCTTTTTTTCCCCTTAAGTGTTTTTTTATCTCTAAGATTTGTAAGGATTAGTTCTTTGTTCCTTGTTTAGAATGCATACTAAACCAAAGAAGACAGAGTTTCACAGTTGACTTTGGCATAGATGTGCTTCAGAATAACTTTTTGTTTTCTCTTCAAGACTGTTTTACATGTACATTGTGTAATCCGTCACTAAGGTTTTGCTCATATCTAGCTTACTTGAAAAAAAGTGATTTCTGCACTTTTTACAGAGTTTTACAGCTCATAAAAGATCACAGACATAACGTAAAGCTTGAATTATCTGTAACTGAATAAAATTAGATGCAGATCAAAAAATGACACAAAATCTTTCAGGTCGTTCACTACATTTTGCTTACAACATATTTATTTATATCTCACATATAGAAACTTGACACAAGCTTTAGATTTGGTGTTTGGATAATCAAGAAAGACATTTAAAATACAGATACAAATAGTCACTGCATCGACAAAGATTTGAAACCATGGAATTCCTACACTCTCTTGCTTGAAATTGAAAGTGTAATTAGACTTCCGCTATCAAATGTTATACTAAGAAATTACCCATGAACTTTCCTTTTTGTTCTTGGCCCAAACTGATGACCAGCTTTGCCAACAGATTGGCTCCCGTCCGTACATTATTGATACTGATTGTGGAGGGGGGGGGGACCAGCCTATCCAGCAAGAACAGAAATTATGTTTGGCAACCAATAATTTGGAATTGTAAAGTAATAATTCAATAACTGAACATGAGCTTTTTTGCGTTTGGTGTTTCATTCAAAAGTGAATAACTTTTGTATTGCTTGAAAAATAGCAGATTGGTAAAGAAATCTGTTTTTCGGGATGAAACTCGAAAATAGCACGGAACTTTAAGTAAATTTAGTACTTCATCCGGCATTTGTTGAGTAAAACTGTTATGTGGACAGTTTTCCTTGTTTTTTTTCCTAGAAGGTACAGCATTAAAGGTTGCATGTCTGTGTAGAGTGTGTGCGATTCACAGTTTCAGATGGTTCTTATTTTATCTGATAAACTGTCGAAGTTGAACACATTACCCTCACTGTTTCAAGCTTAATCTTTAATTTGCTCATGCACTACCAGAACTATGAACTGTAGTTAGGAGAATGGTTGTATGTAGAAAGATGACAAGTTCCACACACAATCCATTACCCTTTGGAGATACGGTGGACACAATACGAGGGCGCTATTTGGTTTGGGTCTAGTCTTTTGCATAAGTTATCCCAATTACCCAAATCAAATAACACCCTTGTATTGTGTCTGCCATATATCGCCAAAGGCTTATAGCAGTTGAGCTATTCACTTTTTCCAAAATTTGTTAAGACTCTGGGATACTGAATGTGCTTTTCACATCTTTTCCCAATCTACAGGTTAAACAACATGGTGACTCCACTGTGGAACCAGCCGTATGAGGACCAGCTATCCACCAAACAGACCAACACCAGGGAGTTTCTGAGGAATTTATCCAAGATGCTGCAACGGAACATTGGGGAGATGTCTCCATGGCTGAAGTAACAAAGGTGAGCTACTCACCAAAGATACGGGATGGTTGTGGGCCAGAATGGAAATGTGATCTTCGTTGACAAAAAAAACTGTTTCCAGACACAGTTTTCTGGCAAGTGGACTTACATGTACAGCTGCCCTGAAATTTCATTAAAAGTCCAGAAAATGATGCCTCATTTTTCTTGAGAATCAATTAAAACTCAGCAAACTTTGGGCCAACTTCTGAAATAAACTTCCTTTCCACACACAAAAGTCCCAAAAATTAAAAGGGGGGGGGGAAGTTTGTAAAAAAACTGTTTACAGACAAAAAGCACAAAAATGAACACAAAACCAAAACTTCACAATTCATAAGCTGCTCAAATGAGACTCGCACCAACAATCTCCTGCTTCCTAGTGCAGATGTCTCAACTACTTGACCATCAGGCTTGCTGGGGTTGGCTGGCTGGTCCCAATCTGATATAGCAGGTGCCACAATCAATGAGTTTAATTAATTGTTTACGAAGGGGAGTTGTGAATGTGAATACCTGGTTTTGACCTTCACCAATGTAAATTTGAATGCACTGTATATTCAGTGCTGTCTGAGAGCTTACGAGCAAAGATTCTGCAAGCTTGCTTGGGTGGGATATGAACCCATGACCTCCTGCTTACTAGTGCAGACATCTTAACCACTCAATAACAGAGCTTGCAAAGGTTAGTGGGCCAGTTTGAATCTTGTGCATATATAGCTTTGGTTACCACAAGAAATTCACAAGCCTGTTGGAGTAGGATTCGAACCTACACCCTCATGTTTAATAGTGCACTCTTCATTTGATTGACAGGAAGAACCACAGTGGGATGGAATGTGAGTTGCAGCCAATTAAGCCATCGGTGAGTAAGCTAGGTGACAAATATTTGTTGATAAAAATATAGATTTTATTTAAATTTATTTGTAGTATTGTGAATGATTTTATGAATTATAATCTCAATGATAGTTCACTTTGGCACATAGTGTTAGGTTAGCTTGACTGGTGTGATCTTTGAACTCTGGTAGATAGATAGAGTCACCTTACTTGTACTAAATTTTATATTTCAACCTGGATTTCTTTTTAGATAAACTATACAGCATGTGAATCTTTTGTGGGGTAAATATTCCTGACATTGGAGATGTCTGATTTGTTCCTTTCATTTTCATTGTTTGTTTGCACACTCACAGCCAGTATTAGAGAGTTATCGCAACAAGTGTGAGTTTACCTTCGGCAAGAGTGTAGATGGCATCGGTGAGTGAAACTGGCATTTATTTTTATTTATGCAATCTCTTCATTTTTGTGTGTATGTGCTCCGTTCACAAGTACCCCCTCGCCTGGATATAAAGTGTGCACACATGTACTTAATGCACCTGTTATGAAAGCTGAACAGAAAGTTCCAGGATTTTTTCTCAGTTATTCCCCAAATTTTTTTGTCAGGTCTTCATGAAACTTGGCCCTGGATAAATTGTGCAATAGTTTCAGTATCATGTCTTCTTATTTTCATTGACAGATAACACTGTTGGTTTCCGGCTTGGCGCTTACAAAGGTAAGTATTTCCTCTGAAGTTTCATTTTGGTAAAAGACGTAGATCAGCTTTCATGTTTGATTGGATCGGCTGTCGAGGGGCGTGGCCTATTGGTAGCTAATGCTGATCAATTCCAACCAATCAGAATGCAACACACAGAAAGATTGACAGGCGTACATATTGTGCATTGTCTATGATGTCTGTCAGGAATTAATTATTGGAAAGAAAGAAACAAGCCACAAAAGACTTAAACCCTTGTCATCCCCTTTGCTAACCAATATGTTGGCTTACTTTTGTGGCATGAATATTGAGGGTATAGGTTTGTACTTTCAGCATTGACCAGCAAGCTCCTTTACTCAGTAGGGATTTTTCAACAATTACATTTGTACAAACAAGAATTAGGTTTTCAATACAAAATTCAGGAAAATCACTGTTTATTTAAATGTTGCTAGTGTACAATTTTATTATTTAACACTGATCTTGCTTTTACACGCAAATTTGCTTGTCCTATAAAAAGTATGTGACTTTTAGAAACATAGTTTGCCCTGCAACTTTTTTCCCCAAATATTACTAGGTATCAGAAAGACGTAAGAGCTCAAACACCGATTTGGTGATAGTACATTTCTGTATTATTTGTGTTTAGAGTTTTAAATTACACAAGGAAAAAGCAGCTTTAATGAACATATAAAAAGCAGCAATTCCTCGGATACTGTGCAAATTAAGATACATCTTGTATGGTGCTAACTTTACAACGACATTCATATTTTACAGCATTGATTTTGCAATTACCCAAATTTGAAGTACCCTTGAGTCCATCTAAAAGAAATATTAGAATATTGCTTTGCATTTAAACATCATACAGACATGGAGCTCATAATGTAATACAACAGACTAGTGGTGCTACACAGATTATGTACAATTATAGAGCATTCAAGTCTCGCCAGTTCACATTCACTTTTCATGTGAACATCTTGGTACCAAACACTGACTAGTCTAGCCACGGACTCCCGTGTTTGAATTCACCCAATGAACGGAAGTGGAGGTCCACATTTCTTCAATTTACTATAGTAATCAACTTGCAATATTTTTTTAATGTGTTGTAAATTGTATTGATTTTTTTTCTTGTTCATAACCCATTCTTTGCCCTTGACTGGCTAAACCTAGTAAAATCACCTAGGTTTTTGAGGTCAACTTGCACGCTCTATTGACAGAAGTGGGGAACACATTGCTGACTTCAACTATCAACTACATTTTTTTCCAGCTAGTAGCTGTGTAGACACCTTTAATACACCAGACTTAAATCCCATACTGTACATCTAAAGCCTACAATGGTCTCGTATATTATATATCTGTGCTCTGCAGCAAAAAGTCTATACAATGGATTTCTCCTTGCTAAAGATAGAATGGTCTTCAAAAAGCATTTTCCACGTTGTGCAACATGTCGTCGCTTTGCTCACGAAGTGACAAAAACCTGAAAATTTGACAAAAGTTCATCCTGAGATAATTGCATTTGAAGTTATTCATTTTTTCAAAAGACATTTTTTACCACTTTGCAGTAACAGAATTCGGAATTTTTTGCATTGTCCGATAAGATATGATTTGCTCTTTGTTAACTCATAGTTGTTGGTTAAAAATAGTTCGTAATTAAACAGTAATTCATTAATAAAACTTTTTTGCACTTCGTTACAACATCAATACTTTGGCTCCCATATTTTGCCAATTACTTTGTACATCATTTTTGTCACTTCGTGGGATCATGAATCGCGGAGGCTTTACTTATTTGTACTTTTTTTCGACACAACAAACTTGTTACTTTTGCGCGTCAGGAAAGTTGAGCGTGCGCGTCTGTTCTTTTTCAACATCGTTCCCGCGTGCGTGTATGCTCCCATCCTGCCGCGTGTAGACCAATGTATAATTCCTCCGGCCCTGCTCAAGAGGTGACTTTTTGTCACTTAGTGAGAACATTTCACACTTTTTTACACTTAAAAATGAAAATCACCGATTTCAGGCTTTTTGTCAATTGTTTGTTTAAGAAAGTAAACAATATTTTGCCTTGAAACTTGGTCAAATTGTTCATTGAGACAACTATAATGAAATGGCTAGTAAAACTCAAAATCAAATAATTATCGATTTTTGAGGTTTTTGTCACTTCGTGAGCAAAGCGACGATGTGTGCACAAAGATTTGTGTAATGTATTTGGAATCAGATGCTCCTAATGCATAACTTGCAACTTTGTTGATCTGTTACTTAGGCTGTGTCTGAAACGGGCTTCTAGAGCTATGGCTACGGCTATTGTCAGATTGTTCCCATGTAATTGTTTTGGGTGAAGACCTAGACAATAGCCATAGACATCTCACTTGCCCATATTAGACTTTAATATACCTCAAAAAATACCAATTTAATCTTTTTTTTCTTCTCTAATCGAAGTTGGTCTTTTAATCTGTTCATTTGTGCATCAGGTCTTGACCCACAAGATAACCATTCCACCAGCACCTCTGACGTACCAGTGACTGGCGCTGCCATAACAGATCCTTATCACTATCGGACACAACAGCACTTCACCTCAGAGATCTTCAAGATTGAGATCCAAAACCTCCCAAGACATTTTGGATTTGCGGTGAGTTTGCTCCCTTAACATTGAACCCTCAATAACAATAACCATACAGTTTGTGCCTTTTTAGGAGTATGTATGTATTGTGCTCCATGCTTGGGATTTGTCAAGGTCTGTTAATAACAGAATCAAAAGGCTGTAAAATGAATTTCACTAAAACATGAAATATCCTAGCCCGGTGTTTGTATGAAAGTAATGACCACATTTTACGCACACTTTTTTGCAATGCCCGTGCACATGTTCGCAATTGTTTCTAATGTTGCTGTGATGTCGATGTAGGTAATTTACACTTCACAGCTTTGGGATTTTCTGTATAATTTATGAACCTAAAATTGATTGCAGCAGTGTTCTAGCCAGGCATCAAATAGCGCTAGCACCCACTACGCTTTCGGAAATAAGCGCTACGCTTAAATTGCGCCGCTACGCTACCGCTACGCTATAAATTTTGATTGCGAAAAAAAAATATCTGCCGTTTTTTCGTATACAAGCGCAGCAACTTTGAGCATTGCGCACTGGCCGTACGACACAGCGAAAAATAAACAACGATCCCACCGCACGTACCCCGTACGATACCCCTACCGTGATGCTGCGCCACACGCATTCGCTATGAAAGCAATAAGCACGTGCTGTTTTGTGCTGCGTAGATACAGCGCTCCGTACGGACGTACGTGTCACCAACAGGTCACGTACAGAGCGCTCTGTGGACCACACCATTTTGCGGTATCGGGTGTGCTTTCCTAAGGTCAATATTAATTACAAGCATTTCAACTGTTATTTAATTATAAATAATACTTTTTATCAAGTCCGAAACATGTTACTGTTTGAAAATAAGTTCTTCAACGTCGGAATATAATTTTTGTAAAGGATTTATTCGAGAAACGATGTCCAAAGAAAGGTTAAGCACCCCTACGATATCAATGGATCCGTCTTCAAAGATGGCCGCACGTGAAGAATTCTTCTCGAAGAATGTCGCTGTCGAAAATTTGGATTTTTGACTACACTTCTCGTTGCTGATAATAACAGTTCAATAAGTTTGGTAGTAAAAACGGATCTGTTTGTTCTAAGGACAAAACCAATCAGCAAGTATTGCAACAAAGCAAGTTTTTTAGCGCTCCACGAATGCGTAAGCTTTCTCAAATGCTGAGGGAAAATTTGGTCGCGTAGTTCGCCGGCGTAGCCAGTGTGTGGGCTGGCCCGTGCCCGCACGCCGGGCCGGGGCCGGCCGCGGCCGGGATAGGAAGCAATTCCCGGTGATTATTTCTCATCGTCATTATCTACAATTATATTTTTTATCATAACAAAAATGAGATTTCTCCTTCACATTGTGTTGTAGCATATTGAAACTGCAATTTCCTACGATTTTTTCTGTCTGAGAGTGAGACCTCCAAATTTGAAATGTTCATGCGATTTGTTCTCGCACTTAACATTGACAAAGTAAATCCCAATTTTTTTATAAAACATTGAGGAACTACTAAAAATGGTTAAACATCAGAAAGCATCAATCTTGGAACAATTTATACATTGTAAAAATAATCTAAAATTTGAAAACAGAAGGAACTTTACAGGAGCAAGAGTATCAATCATTGAAACAAATAAAACAAAATTTCTTATTATTTTAAACACTTCTGCTAAAAAAAAATCAGGGAAAAGTGGCAGGGAATCGCCTCAGATTGCACCACAGAGCATCTAGAGTCCAAAATTTTCCGGGGCCCTTAAGCGGGCCCCGGACCCCACGCCGTAAGGGCTTCGCGCTACGCGCTCGCATTAGTCATCGAACCAAAAATACCCCTATGCTATAATTTCACCTTGGCTAAAACCCTGGATTGCAGTGTACATGTGTAAAGGTTTGTACATTTAAGTATCTCATTGGCTGCATGCTATGTGCTAATGAATGCAACAGTCACATCAAACTTGATCAAAACACTTATGTTACATATTGTCCCCTCAAACAGCAGTGACACTGAAGTTCCAGCTCATGACATCATTGTATTTCTCATGAACATGCATCTTGGCACCATCATAAAAATATGTAAAAGCCTGAAACATCCAAAGACTTGGAATACAGGGGTGCATTTCCTAAAATAAAAACCTCCAAATCTGTTTCAAAAGCACTTAAAAAAACCTCTTTATTTCCAGCGAACTTTCAGGGTTACCCATATGTTAGTACCATTACTTGTACATTTTCACACTGAAAAAAGTAACAAACTTGCTCATTAAAAGGAAGGGTAGGTCATTTGTCATTTGTGCATTTTTTTTCATTTGAAGCTACAAAAGTGCTCAAAATCTAAAAACGGGTGCTTAACAACTAACATGATGAAGTTTTAGCTCTGTGAGTGCAGTATATTCCAAACATATATTCTAGGATCTCAGGTTCAATTCAAAAGTTGCTGAGTCATGTTTTATATTGTGTCT